AAAATTAAATAATTAATATAAAATAAAATTATAAAAAATAATAAAATCTAACAAAAAGAAAACTATACAATATATCAAAAAAAAAAAAAAAATAAGAAAAAAATAATTGTTCAATCTAAATATAAACAATATAACAATAAAACACAATGTAAACGAAGTATTTCATTAAAATGCCGCGGGCCCTCGAAAACATTTCAAAAGTTCTATCTCGTTTTACCTGACACGTCGTCCCTTCTAACATGATATAAGTTATGTAATATACATATATACATATAATAATAATAATAATAACAATGCACATACATATATACATACATATATATATATAGATAAAACCCAACGTTGAGAAAACGCGTGACAAAATAACAATAATACAACACACGCCTTTCTTATTGGCATTGTTTTACGAGCCAAGTTTATATCGTTCTTTCTTTCTATCTCATTTATTACATATCTATCCATCTATCTATCTATCTTTCTCTATTTCTGTTTCTTTGATACTGGCACGTGCGCTCACTCGCTCACACATGGTTGCATCCTTGACATTTCAAGTAAACGTTTCTTGTAAGATGACTCTCTCTCTCTCTCTCTCTCTTTCTTTCTCTCATTCTGTCCTATTCTCTATCCCATTTTCTCTAACATGTGTTTTTTTTTATTTTTTTAAAAAAAAACTTCATACCAGAGATCCCATCTCGCCTACACACATACTACACATATTATACACATACAAAAATAACACACTGAGAAAAGACTCGATCAAATCTCAACTTTTCTTTCTTTCTTTCTTTCTTTCTTCCTTCACCTTAAATCCATGCTCGATAATGTAACCACTTTCCACAACAGGTTGCAAAACGTGTTTAGCTCTAACAGAATGACGAAAAAAACAAAAACAAAAAAATCAAGAAAAAATAGAAAATGAATGAACAAAACAAATGAAGTTTGAACGAAAGAGAAAGTGTTTAAGGGAGGAGATAGAAAGTTGTATCAGGGTTACGTCAAGATTTTGTCAGAGTTGTATCAGTATTGTATTAGGGTTGTATTGCGCCAAGATTTTGTCACGGTTGTATTTGGGTTGGGTCAAGATTCCCTCAGGTACCGAACCTGAGGGTCCTATGAGGACCTGAGAGTCCTATGAAGGTTTTATCATCTTACGAAAAAACAACAAAAAATGGGTTATGTCAGGGTTTTGTCAAGGTTGGTTGTTTTGTTGATGAAAGGGTTTGGGGGATATCTTCTCAATAACTCACCTATTATTGTCGTATTCTTCCAGTTCATCATCATCATCATCATCATCATCATCATCCTCTCGGGTACGTTACTTTCTATCTTTATATATTTGATGTATTTTTCCAATAAAATCTCATTCGGAGTAGTGTTGAATGGACATATACGTACACTATGCAGCTCACGTAGTCCCCTTCGTCGTTGTAGTGGATTGATAAAACTGTAAAAAGCCCGTGAGAAACCCAAGCGGGGACCTTTACTAAAAGTGATTTATACGCGCCTTTTCAATCCGATAATTCATTCGCCAGGGCAAAAGAGCTTATTTCAATAAACGACTTTTCCCTCTTTCTCTTTCACTTATTCCTACACCTTCGCATCCTTCACTTATTGTGTAATCTTATAGTTAACAAACCTTAAACGATTATATA